TATAGCATAAAAGTATTAAACGAACTACGAGTAAAAAAAAAAAAAACTCACCTACAACTGGTAAACGAACTACAAGTAAAAAAAAAAAACTCACCTACAATTGGTAAACAAACTACAAGTAGAAAAAAAAACAACTTAACTAAAATTGTTAAATGAATTATAAATAAAAAAACTCAACTAAAATTGTTAAATAAAAACCTCACCTAAAATTGCTGCTCTGTGCATCAGCTTTTTAGGGATACATCCTACATTCACACAGGTTCCTCCAAGTCCTGAAAGCAAGAGACAAGCAGCTGTATCTCAGATCAAACAAAATAAACTACCCAACAACTAAGGGGAGATACATCTACTACAGACCAAACAAAAACTCCCCAACAACTAAGGGGAGATACATCTACTGAGTAAAGTTAAAGGGTTGAAATTAACATCTTCATACGTCAAACTAATGAAATCAAGCAGTGTTATATTAGTGTACAAATAGTTAATACCAATGATTGTTATAGTAAGCAGTTAAACTCTGCTTTAAGAATTATTCAATGTTTTCATTTCAGTCAAACATAGATGCAAAGATCACAAGAATTTTTTTTCTTTAACTTAAAGATTTGTGGGAATGACAAAAGATGTTATAGAAAAATTGAAGAACTGATACACAGTTAGAATATTTAATGATACAATCACACTACCAATCACCTGAAGTGTTGTAAGCCATCTAGACTAAACATGGTATATATAAAAAAATAAAATACACTTGGAATAATATGAACAATCACATATAATTTACTATATTTTACTCAGACTTTGTCCACAATTTCTAATCTTGAAAATATCTGTTGAACTAGTAGCATTCTGTTAGCCCAAAGACAAGTATTGTCACAATTTATTTGTAAAATGAGAAATGTGGGAAAAAAAATGCTCTACACAAATTTAAAAGACTCACCCCATGTAGTTCCTTTTGGAGTTGGTGTCACAAAGTCAAAAACTGCCACTTTTTTCCCAAGCTTCGCAGCTTCCTGAAAGAATATATATTTAACATTTTTAAACGATGCTACTTTAGAATTACGAACTTTACATACTAAAAGTATATGACAAAGCTCAACATTATGGAATTTGGTGAGCTAGCAAACCAGTAAATCTAATCTAAATTACTAATCATTCTAAACTAACACTACAGTGCTTTCCACCTAGGAAGAGTAAACTATTATCACCCAAATCACACACAAGGTGAAAAAACCATTCATGTTAAGCTTTAATAGACATCTATCTATATTAGGGTGTTTTTTATCTGCAGGCAAAATTTTCAGGTTAAACATTCTGAAGCTCTCATCCCCTAGTTTTGTTCCAATGTACAAAGAAACATCAAATGTCAAACTCCATCCATTTTGTTTAGAGTGGAATGGCCTGGTACCCTATGTACTATAAAAACATTTATGTATTATAAATGTGTTAAAAGTATATCATCATATTGCGTATACAATAGTACAAGTAACAAAAAGCATTTTGTAAATGTAAAACCAGAATATAGGGATGATACAGATATACACAGATCATCTATACATTACTTTCAATAGTCAAATTTAACGTTACACTGTAAGATGCACAAGTTCAAAATGGTTACGAGGTCGGTCAATCCGACCAGCCTTAAAGAGTCTGTAACAATCAACACGTTTTGACTCAACTTGGTTTTCCTTGCACACAAGTCCTGGTATCTTAGTTACATTACATTGATGCCTACCCTGACATGACCATAATATAATGATAAACAAGTGGTCAGCGGCGTGCAGAGGTTCTACGATGCCCGGGGACCTTGTACCTAAGACCTTGGGGAAGGGCAGAAAGGGTTCTACTATTCGATTCGACTCTTTGCGTTGGATGCCCTCCAGATATGAAGTTAAGATCATTATGAGGAACAGTGAAACATGCCCAAAGATTCTCAAACAACAGCGATGAAGACACCTGGGAGTCCTCTATTCTCACACCCAGTGAACTTAAACTGTCCAGATCTTAAGGGCACGTAACACCTTGACCACTCCTCGTGCACGACGCAATGAGAGCACGTAACACCTTGACCACTCCTTGTGCATGATGCAGCACTCCAGGTGCTATAAATCGCACTCCACAAGGAGAGATGCCACAAAGAAGGGTTATGGCTAGTTTACCCAAAGTTATCTTATAGGACACTCAACTGACACTGTCCTTAACTTCTTCTACGTCTTCTGTTACTTCACCATAGTCTGCTGCTGTTTCATTACTGGTCTGGTCATGTACTCCCAAGATTGGTGGAATAGATTGAAAATTCCAATATATGGACCACAAGAAAGCAGCATACAGTCTTAGAAATTGTCCCGGCACGTTTTCAAAGTTACACAATATTCCAGAAATAAAACGTAAGAACAAAGATTATTTTTTATGGAATGTTCTTGAACACTTTGAATAATGTGGAATACTCTAGGATATGCTACAATAGTCCAGAATGATTTAGAATATTCTGGAAAACTAGAATATGCAGATAAAATGCAAGCTACAAGGTAAAATTTCAACTACCTTCAGCAACCCATAAATGTTATTCAATTTGGATACAATTTAGTGTCAATTACTTATATTGTACAAAAATGAGAGGGGAGGGGTCATAAATAAGGACCACTCTAATGATAGTCTATATATTTTAGACACACACACACAGCTATAAATTAGAGAACAGTTACACGTAAAGAGCTGTATCCCCCAAATCTTATATTACAGCTACGTGGAAAGAATATATACTTTCGATGCTGCAAGACCGCCAGAGCCTCCACCTATGACAATCAAGTCAAAATCATATTGGTCATCAGGCGGGTTCAGTAGCTGGGCCAATTTTCCACTGCTATAAGCTGCGTGAGTATCATCACAACCTCCAATGTAGGCTCCATTGACGAACACTTGAGGAACGGTAGGACGGCCGGTCTGTGCTGTCAACTCGGCTTGAATGTCAGAACCATTATCTAGGACAATACAAATCAATTAAAGCATTAAAGAAGATGCATGATGGTTATAAAGAAATCATACTGATGATACAATTAGTGTTCCAATAATCATAAAAATATCAACACTAAAATTTAACTTGATACCTTGTATAAAATTTACTGAAGGAACAGACAACACCAAGATTTATATAAATATAAGAGCCAAAAGAACTACTGTTAAGGCTAAACGGAATTATTAAGTCTTTTGTCTAGCAAGTCAAACTAATGGTTTCTATTTTGCCAATGTGGTTACTGGTTTTGGAATCAGTTCCCATTGCCAATAGTGGAAGCCAGCATTTTACAACATTTCAAGAAAGGTCTGAAAAATAAAGTGTACTTTTCAATTTTTTCATTCTCCACAGTGGGTGTACAAGTAGATGCTTGAAGAGGCAAATTTTTACAGCAAACAATAATATTGTCCAATTCCAAAACATTTTAAAGAAATTCTTTTCATGACAAGAAGGAACAAGGGTTAAGATAAACCTTTTTAAATAATGAAGACGAAAGACTTTCAAAACATGTTGTTTTACAACAGGTAGTTGCCATCCATTGCAATGGCATTAATTTCTTAAAAAATTGTATTACTAATTAACAACATTTCCACGTTGATCAGTTTGTTCAATGTTTGAAAACTTTTCTTTCCGTAAATATTTTAAGATTATTATTGTTAAAGAATAGATTATATTTAAGCTGCTGTATTTTGAAGAATTTTAAGAAAAACTGATATTGGGCAAAACTTAAAGCCTTAATAAGAATTATCTTTACACTTAGAAGAAACTGAATCTATGCAAAATTTTTTACATTATGAAAATTCTTAAAAGTGCCTTTGATTGAGATTTCTTTCAAGACCAACACTTTTTTCCTATCTTTAACTGGAGAAATAATTTGAAAATTTTTAAAAATACCAATATTAAAGATATGGGAATAAGATTGTTTCAGATAAGCATCAGTTGAACCGTGTAAAGTTTTGATTCTCTTACTACAAGAATAATACCATATTATAATTAGAAAAGAGGTGGGTTTAAAATTTCTAAACTACAGAAAAACGTTTAAAGTTTGGAACTTATTAGCTTTAAAGATTAAAATAATTAGATAAAAACTTATGTGTTTTAGAATTATGAATGTTAAGAAGAACACGTAAAAAGCCTTTAAATCTCAGATACACACATTCTTTAACAAGGCTATTTTCCATTAGTTGCAAAGTTATGAAAGGACTTACCCAATTACATGTTTGATTAATTTAAAGATGGTATGGACTATGTTGACATAAAATCAGTGATACACGGGAGAAAAAGACTCAGTTCTACTCATCCATAACATAATAGTGAGGAATAAGGGTGTTCATGCACAAACAACTCAAAAATTAAATATAAAACATGAATTTAACACATGCCAAATGAAATAATGGAGTTTAAAGATATGGATGTTTCATCAGAACACAAACATTAAGAGCTACATTTTACTTGGTTTTGATATTCTGTGCAATATTGACACTAGGACCAATAGCCTTCTTATGAAATAAATTTTAAACTCCTATCTCATGTTTCATTTGTTAATGAATTAATAATAAATTTCTTATATTAAATTCATAATAGGATCTTCTTAACAGGCGTACTTGAGACTTTTATCTAACAATATAACAGAAAATCATGTGTCCTTTTGGCTGCAAGTTCAAACAAGTCGTTATGCCTACTCTTACTAGTATTAGACTGTTATGTTACTCCAATGTTAGAGTGGAGACGAGTTTATCACTTACCCAGTTCATCTAATTCAAGACTAAAATATGGAGTGCCAAGTGATTGAAAGATTTTCTTCACCTAGATATAAAAACGTACCTTAGTTTTACTTTTGGTATAACTATAGTACAAGTATTATATTTTCTACTGCAATAATATTAATACTATATAATAGTACAAATAAAAATAGTAATTCACACAGTAAAACTCGCACACATAACATATAAAGCAAATCCAAATTATCAATTAAAAAATTATCTCTGTTAAAAAAATACTAATACAGCCAATTTAATTCATTATCTGTTAATTATTTTAAAAATTACTTACCTGACTACAAAACCCACAATAAGACTTGCTGAATAACATAACTTGGTTATTTTTAACATGGCGCTCGATAATGAGTTTCACATTCTCACTGTGATTAATAACAGGCGCCATTATTCGCCTTTGAAATTAAATTAAAACTTATAACTGAACGTTCATACACAATATTCACCTCATCGATTGATTAAACTGGGAGAATATAGGTTTATTCACCAACTGTGCACGGTATACTACTTCCACATTTAACTTTTAAATAATACTACCAATCTCTACCATGCACCACCTGCTTTTTAAGCGCGTTACAAAAAGCGCCCTCTTTCGAGAGGAATATGAGCTTTATCATCCAGTTATGTAACTACAGGATACAGGTAAAAACATTTAAAATTGACGTCAGCTGACCTGCTTCAAAAGAACGTTTAAAATTTTAATGAGATCGTGATTCTCACTTACATTCTTCTCACAGACAACCTACACATTGAAGAAAACACATATTTCGTCATAATTAAAAACAATTGATTGGAATGTCAGAAAGAAACCGAAGAATTCTTTAAAAATTATACTAGATCAAACAGGTTCTGTAATCAAAGGCATGGGAATAAATGGGGCAATGGGCCCCGACGCACAGGAATCGAAAAGGCCCATAAAAATATATGCGTTTTATAAGAAAAGAAAAATAATAATTAAACGGTAAAATAATATTTCGCAATGGTGGAAAATAATATAACTCAATCGGGTTTTTACAGCTGTTTCAGCAAGTATTAACTAATCTTTTATAACGGCTTTTAGGCTGTCTGTTATAACATAATATAAAGATTAAACAAGACAATTGTGAAAAAAAAAGGAGTTAAACGTTTGCTTGATAAGTATTGAACGTGAAGATAAAAAACACGACCCAGTTTTTATTACCTTCTAGCGTTTATTTAGCCACATTAAAAACATAAAAACAGAAGATTTTGCTATGTTGTGTTAAGATTGAGGAATGGGCCAATGGTGCTTCAAACAAACAAATAAAAAATATATAGTGTTTAATATTAAGTTATCTACATAAATAAAAAGTAAAGTTATTACTTAGTAGTCGCTATTTTAGCACAAAGCTATATAATGGGGTACATGCACGATAAGAAATCGAACCCTAGATTTTACAATTGTAATTCCGTAAACATAACGCTGACCTACCGGTGGGACACCTAGTAATTAGCATAGCTAATTTAATATCATGTTCAAGTTATGTTACTTATAACGATTAAGATGCATCCCTTTCATCAGTTTGGCACTCTTGCTGTTAATGGTTGGAGACGGCTTGATTGGGTAATGAAGAAAAACTTTAATATAAGTTTAACATAACAGCAGATGTACAACGTTTCGACAATGTTTTTGTCATCATCAGGTTTTGTCTCCAACCATTATTAGTCTCAAAGTTGGTTCCTCGTCATCGAATTTGAACCCTTACTGTTATTGACGTTTTCAACCGTTAACCTAATAATACCTCACAATGTTTGGTCAGCCCAGGACTCTTAGGTTAGTCCTAAATACACATACTAAGCTATCAATGCAGAATAATTATATTATAAATAATAAATATAGAACTAAATTAGAAATAGAAAAATAGATATATTAAATATTCTAACCAACACTATTTGTCCATACTGTGGTAAAAGTTTCAACACACCTGGGTAAAAGTTGTACTTGGCTCGTCCAGTTTAGTATTGTTACCACAGCGGAAGTCACGTGACGTTGGTAACACGTGATGATTCGCGAAGACGCTAGCGTTTGCTAGACATGCGCTCTTATAGTATATAAGACCGGCGAGAAGTGACGGCATATATATATATATAATTGCAGACAGACAGAGACGGACAGTAGTAAAGTGCGTGAATCGTTGTGAATTATAGCGTGCGTTTAAGTTAAAGTGACTGTGAAAATTAAGTGTATTGCAAAGTTGTATTGAGAGGGAATAAACTAGTTTTATTTAAGAAAGAACTTGCGTTACGTCTCTGTTCGTTTGTTAATTTTCCGTATAATTTATTCCCAATGAAACTTCAGCGACACACGTCCTTTCTAGCAAATACTGGATTATTCGTGATGTTCCCCGATCTTTCTATAACTCATTACGTGTTATAAGCGTCACGTGACATGTATTGTACATATGGGGTTTGTGTAAAGCGGAAGGAGAATCCCACAAGAAAACATTGCGCCAGTGCCTTTCTGGCCGTTGCTATGACAATTTCTATAGTAATGTTTTTATTGTAACTTTTAATGAACAACAAAAATTTATAAAAAAGACAAGAATGCCATTTTTGGTGACTCCTTAAACTATAAAGACTGTATATTATGAAAATATTTGCTCTAGCAGCTGTTGGTAGCAAACCCTGACAAATATATATATATTTCAATCGCAAACTTATTGTAATAACTGGCCCTTTGTTCTTGACGGTAATGACGTATTAAATCTCATTCTACCTAACAAACATCAGTTTCAGTCTTTCCAGGACTCCCCCCCCCCAAAAAAAAAAATTATCTTTTTAAACAGTAGACCTGTGATAAACCATGTTTAGAGAGAGAGAGAATGGATGAAAGTTTTAACATTTTAATCCTTGTTTTGGTTGTTTTGTGTTAATTACCTGAAGGAAAAAAAGCCCCTGCTGCCTCAGCGTTAAGTTTGTAAGCTTATAACACTCAAAATCAGGTTTTTATACTCACGGTGAGCACAGCACGGTTAACCCATTGGGTAGCTTTGCGTTTAACGACAAACAGAAACAAAAACGAGGACTAAACTAAAATTACTGCTCGCGATTAGGCTAACACATTTTAGCGTTTTGATAAGAATTCACAACATCATTCAAAATAAAAGAATTTTCACTTTAATTTTGGATATTAAAACTAGTTTCATTCGAACGATGTCAAAGCTGAAACGCCCAAGCCTTAGCGGAAATATTCCTAGACTTGATATACTAGGTACAACCGCTATTCCGTTGGTGCTTAAACAATCCTTAGGCTTAACTGTCGATGAAAATATGAGTGTAGTATTGTTTTGAGCTACATTTTCAATGCTTTAATTTATATTTTCGATCAAAAAAACACCAGATTGCAGCAAGTGTGTGACGTCGGTATGTGACAGGTTTTATTACACCACGGAAATATGTAAATAACAATGAAGTAATGCGACAAAGGGGAAAGTATAAAATAGTCTTGTAAGTTACTCCTGAGGATGACGTGATCACGTCGAAACATGTACTTGTAGAGTGATATTTTAAAGTGGAAGCCTTACGGCTTCAATAAAGTTTTTATTGTGTAAATACAAAACGTTGTTTTTAATTATTTATGATAATTTAAATAATATTTGATATATGTTAAGCTACGAAAGTGTGTCAATATTACCACCATATTGTGCTACATTCTGTAAGTCTCATTGGATTTAATTCCAATTTACAGATCTGTGCCAGCTGATGAACATGCAGGACTTGTCCGTGAGAACACTTTAAATGATGAACCTTCAACTTGCGCCACAGAAGGACCTCGAAAACATGAAATATATTTTGATGATTTACAGACATGTGACATGACATTATGAAAAAGAAACTTGAGACAAAAAGTTGTAGATCTAGAGAGAAAAGTCAGTAATTTGGAGACATTAGTTTCTCATCCCCTAGAGAGGAACATTATCTCTGTTGTTTACTGGTAGACTTTTGTTAAATCATAATGTAACCTTCCAAGTTACAATATTTCTCTCGTGATAAACCAAGAAGGTAACCATTAGCTACGTGAGTTTACTGGTTTAACTGAATAACATCTTAAATTGACGAGTCTAATTCAGAATATACTTATATTAGCTTTAAAATTTTTTCAATGACAAACTTGTGACATCATATGTTAAACATGTGGTTTTTAACGGTTATAAAGTTAGCTATTTTTACCACTTCTCAAAATAACATACAATGTATGAATACTTCCCAGGGACGCTTGAATACTTCCCAGGGACACTTGAAAAAGCGAGTTTAATTCATTTATTTACAAAATAATAATATATTCAGTGGTGAAAGTAACTTTATTTTCTTACCAATAGGGTAGTATTGTTTGTCCTTTCCCCCACCTACCCACCCATCTATACACATTTGATTTAAATCAACAAGTATGTAGAACAAAGCTAAAACATTCTAATACACACATTGTTACGTCTCTGTTCGTTTGTTAATTTCCCGTAGAAATTATCCTCGAGAAACTTCAGCGATACAAGTCCTTTCTTAAATAAAACTAGCTTATTCTATCTCAATACAACTTTGCAATACACTTAATTTCCTGCCCCCAGTAGCACAGTGGTATGTTTGTGGACTTATAACGCTAGAATCCGGGTTTCGATACCCGTGGTGGGCAAAGCACAGATAGTCCATTGTGTAGCTTTGTGCTTAATTACAAATAACAAACAAAACAAAC